GACCGCTCCCGAGCGCGGGGGGCGGGGGCTGCCCAGCCAGGGCCTTGGGGAGCCGTCCTCGGGCAGCCCCGAGGTGCTCGACAAGGCTTTCTTCGAGGGGGGCGGGGGGTGAATGTCTCGGGGGTCCCCAAACGGGGTGGGGATTCGGGGCCACCGCACGGTTTTGGGACTCGAGTTCCTCTCCGAGGATGTCTCGGGCGACTGGGGCCTCCGAGGTCCCAAGACCGTGCGGTGACGGACCGTGCGGTGAGGTCTCTTGGGGTTCCGAGGTCACCGCACGGTCTGTCACCGCACTGTTTCGGGGCTCCAACATGGCATCAAGCAGAGGCGAAGCGTCCTGGCATGCCTATAGGCCCACCAAACAATGTTCTAAGAACCTTCTGTGGTTTGTACGAAATGTTCTAAGAACATTTCTGACTGGGGCTGCCGTGTCTTGGTACATCGGGTCTGTATTCTAAGAACGTTTTTGTTTTTTCCCAACCATCCTGTGGTGTTGGGTCCTCGTTTTGAAGAGACGTCGCCCCGCGTTCCTCCTCCTCCTTCCTCCTCCTCCCCTTCCTCCCCCCTCCTCCCCCTCCCACACCCATTCTGGCACACCCCTTACACGTTTCGTGGCCCCATAGGGAGCTCCACCGAAGGCCCCAGTGGCTGCGCCCGCATGCGGTTCCACACCCCATTCTGGCACCCCCCTCACACGTTTCGTGGCCCCATAGGGGGCTCCACCGAAGGCCCCAGTGGCTGCGCCCGCATGCGGTTCCACCCACCATTCTGGCACCCCCCTCACACGTTTCGTGGCCCCATAGGGAGCTCCACCGAAGGCCCCAGTGGCTGCGCCCGCATGCGGTTCCACCCCCCATTTTGGCACACCCCTCACACGTTTCGTGGCCCCATAGGGAGCTCCACCGAAGGCCCCAGTGGCTGCGCTGGCATGCGGTTCCACACCCCATTCTGGCACACCCCTCACACGTTTCGTGGCCCCATAGGGAGCTCCACCGAAGGCCCCAGTGGTTGCGCCCGCATGCGGTTCCACCCCCCATTCTGGCACACCCCTCACACGTTTCGTGGCCCCATAGGGAGCTCCACCGAAGGCCCCAGTGGGTGCGCCCGCATGCGGTTCCACCCCCCATTCTGGCACACCCCTCACACGTTTCGTGGCCCCATAGGGAGCTCCACCGAAGGCCCCAGTGGCTGCGCCCGCATGCGGTTCCACCCCCCATTCTGGCACACCCCTCACACGTTTCGTGGCCCCATAGGGAGCTCCACCGAAGGCCCCAGTGGCTGCGCCCGCATGCGGTTCCACACCCCATTCTGGCACACCCCTCACACGTTTCGTGGCCCCATAGGGAGCTCCACCGAACGCCCCAGTGGCTGCGCTGCATGCGGTTCCACCCCCCATTCTTTTCGTGGCCCACTCCACCCCCCATGCTGCGCCCGCATGCGGTTCCACCCCCCGTTCACACCCCTCACACGTTTCGTGGCCCCATAGGGAGCTCCACCGAAGGCCCCAGTGGCTGCGCCCGCATGCGGTTCCACCCCCCATTCTGGCACACCCCTCACACGTTTCGTGGCCCCATAGGGAGCTCCACCGAAGGCCCCAGTGGCTGCGCCAGCATGCGGTTCCACCCCCCATTCTGGCACACCCTCAAACGTTTCGTGGCCCCATAGGGAGCTCCACCGAACGCTCCAGTGGCTGCGCTCGCATGCGGTTCCACCCCCCATTTCGGCACACCCCTCACACGCTTCGTGGGTGGCTCCATGGGAAGCTCCACCGAAGGCCCAAGTGGCTGCGCCCGCATGTGGTTCCCCCCCATTTCGGCACACCCCTCACACGGTTCGTGGCCCCATAGAGAGCTCCACCGAAGGCCCCAGTGGCTGCGCTCGCATGCGGTTCCACCCCCTTTTTCGGTACGCCCTTCACACGTATCGTGGCCCCATAGGGAGCTCCACCGAACGCCGCAGTGGCTGCGCTCGCATGCGGTTCCACCCCCCATTTCGGCACACCCCTCACACGTTTCGTGGCTCCATAGGGAGCTCCACCGAAGGCCCCAGTGGCTGCGCTGGCATGCGGTTCCACCCCCCATTCTGGTACACCCCTCGCACGTTTCGTGGCCCCATAGGGGGCTCCACCAAAGGTCCCAGTGGCACTGCCCGTTTGCGTCCGCCACCACCCAGCACAGCCCTTGTTCCCTGCGCTTCACCCACCCAGAACAGCGCTTCGTAGCCCTATAGGGAGCTCCACCAAAGGTCCCAGCGGCACCGCCCGCATGCGTCCGCCACCACCCTGCGCAGCCCTTGCTCCCTGCCTGCGTTTCACCCACCCAGTACAGCGTTTCGTGGCCCCATAGGGAGCTCCACCGAAGGTCCCAGTGGCACCGCTCGCATGCGTCCGCCACCACGCAGCACAGCCCTTGCTGACCGCGTCTCACCCACCCAGTACAGCGTTTCGTGGCCCCATATGGAGCTCCACCGAAGGTCCCAGTGGCACCGCCCGCATGCGTCCGCCACCACCCAGCACAAAAGCGGCATTCACAACTGCATATGGTTGGGTCCTTCGCCAGGCTAATGTTTTTATTGCTGTGTTCTAGGAACATATCGTGGTAGGCCTATAGGAATGCCGGGACGGTCGGTCCCTGCTCAAAAGGGGGGAGGAGGAGGAGGAGGAGGAGGCCTGCACAAGCCGATTCCCTCTTCGGTCAACAGGGCATTCGTTTCCGATCAGATCCGACCTGGGCGTGTGCGGGGGCCTTGTATATAAGAGTGGGACCGTTCGCCAAAGTGACCTGTGCTGCCGGGCCTTTGGGGCCCCCAGCTTCGCTGGAGCGCGGCGCGACAGCAGCGGCTTTCGCGCTCGGGTCTTCGCCCCGGCCAGCAAGTATACAGTAGGGAGGAGGAGTGGAGGTGGTGGTGGTGGTGGTGGTGTATATTCCTGGGGCCCGCCCCCTCCCCCCCCACCTGTCGTGCCCCCCGCGCCCCCCCCATGGGGCCAGATGCTCGGGGGCAGGGCCGAGCCGAAGGAGAGCGGCTAGGCACGATGGGGATGGGCGCGGTTGGGCCAGGGTATAAGGTCGAGGTCGGTTCCGGGAAGACGCCCTGATGTTCTTCGTTCTTGTTGGATGTTCTTGTGCTTCCAGGGGGAGGGGACCCTCGAGTGTTTTTTTAGCATGGGCCGGCGGAGGGTCTCGTGCTTTTGAAGGATGTTCTTCTGTCATGCAACCATCAACAACATTCAACTCAAAAACGCCTTAAGCCCCCCTTCAATGTCGGCCCCATCAATTGTCGAAGGAAGCCGACGCATGCTCTTTGGGGGGGGGGTGCGCCTCGGCAGTTCCATGCTGACCGACATTGGAGGGGGGGCGCCAACAAATACTTCGCACTCATTGACATCCAACCCCAGGTAGCCCTGGAAAGAATTCAAGAACCCCCCCCACCTCCAGCAGAAGGATAACGCTTCCCGCACCAGGAAGCGTTATTCTTGCGCCAGGGGGATTGATATGGCTCTCGCCTCAGCGCCGCGCGCATTCGTTTCAGAAACTTGCAAGAGTTTTGCGGATTGAGGGCGGTTTGTGGATCTCGCTTTAGCGCCGCGCACATTCGTTTCAATATTTTGTAAGAGCTTCATGGACAGAGGGCGGCTCTTTTTCAAAACGTGGCTTTCGCCTTAGCGCCGCGCACATCCGTTTCAAACATCTGAGAGAGTTTCACTGATTGAGGGTGGCTCGTTTTCAAAATGTGGCTTTCGCCTCAGCGCCGCGCAATTTTTCTCAAACATTTGAAAGAGCTTCGCAGGTTGAGGGCGGTTCGTTCTCAAAATCTAGCTCTCGCCTCAGTGCCGCGCACATTCGACTCAGAGTCAAACACTTGCAAAAGTTTCGCGGATGGAAGGCGGGTAGTTTTCAAAGTGTGGCTCTCGCCCCAGCGCCGCATAGATTCGCTTGGAAAGCGTTGAAAGAGTTTCGCGGGTTGAGGGCGGACCGTTTTCAAAATGTTGGTCTCGCCTTGCGCCGCGCACTTTGTGTTTACAAACATTGCAAGGTCTTCGCGGATGGAGGGCGGGCGGTTTTCAAAATGTTGTTTTCGCCTCAGCGCCGCGCGCATTCGTTTCAAGAAATTGGATGAGCTTCGCGGATGGAGGGCGGCTCGTTTTCAAAATGTGGCTTTCGCTTCAGCGCCGCGCACACTCGCATTGAAAGCGTTGCAAGCTTTTCACGGATTGAGGTCGACTCGCTTTCTCAATGTGGCTCTCGCCTTAGCGCCGCGTGCATTCATTCGTTAAGCACTCGTAAGCATTACTACGACCACTACTACGACTTTTGCTGCTACTGTGCCTTCGTGCCCGTGTTGCTGCACCTACGTACTAGCACTATGAAGTACTACCTCGAAGTACTACCGCTACGATTGCTATACGTAGTACCACTACGATTGCGATACGACTTAGTAGCAGTACTAGTATCGCCTACTACTACTACTACTTATACTTCTACTGCTATTACCACCTTCTCTTATGACTAATTCTATCTAATTTTATTACTACTATTACTACTACTGCTGATGATACTACCTGCTACTATTACGATTAATCGTACTGCCAATACTACGGCTAGTGTTACTCTACGACTACGACAACAACCTCTATTACAACACATACATATATCTATGACTGCCTCTGCGACGGCTACGAGAACCATTACTATTGCAACAGCAACAACAACAACAACTACTACTACTACTACTTCTACTAGTACTGCTACTACAGCTGCGACGACGACTACTACTACTACTACTACTACTACTACGACTACCACTACTACTTCGGCTACTACAGCCATGTACGTTTTTATTCTTCAGTTCGTCGCTAATGTAAGTTTTTTTTGACGACGACGGCTATTGCTGCTTCTCCTGCTAGTTTTGCCACTGCTGCTGCTACTACTACTACGACGACTACTACTACTATTACTACTACTACTACTACTACTACTACTCATGCTACTACTACTACTACT